AGATAGGAGCTGTGCCTCGTGTTTCTCTTACTCATTCTCAGTGTTTTGAATAGCCGTCCACTCAGTCTGTTTTGAGTCCTCACCTGAGGATATTGTTTCCATTGATGTTTGCCTCCCCTGTGCACCCTGACCAGAGCCGGGCACCAAACCTGCAACCGAGGTACATGCCTTGACCGGGAATTGAACCCACAACCCTGAGGCCAACACACTAACCACTGGGCAAACCAGCCAGGGCCATTCGATCTCTTTTGAATAAACTTCAGGCAGTTTTGATACATCTGACACTTAGTAATTTCTAACCAGAGTTAGACGAAGTGTACAGGTATGGGTTCCGGGGGTGGATACATTTATTTTCAGGCTGTTGCTTGTCTTAGGGGCACCTTGCTAAGCGGTAAAACTCAAATGGGATCGGAGAGGTTTCGGCTTCCTTCTCATTCGGAAGCTTGTGAGCCGATGCAGAGCCTGGGCCTGTCAGAGAATCCTTCCTCAAACGTCCTGGTTTTATTTGGTAGCAGTAGCACCCTCGCCGCATTTAAGAGTACTTCGCGTGCCATTAGGCTATTCCCAGCCCTGAAACCCTCCTGCTCTAAAGTCCACCGCGTTCAGGCTCAGTCACAGCAGAGCATGACGGGTGTCAGAGGGAGGCTTCGTGTCGTGGCCCTTGGGGTGGGGGGCGGGGGGAGTGAGAGCAGCCCCACAACAGAGATGCCCTCTCGCACGTCTCTTACCTCTGGTGCCCTCACACTGACGGGGACCTGGGCATGCCTGAAGCCGCTGTGGGGGAGCCTGGTCAGGGTGCACAGGGGAGGCAAACATCTCTCATATCGATGTTTCTCTCTCTCTCCCTCCTGGCCCCACCCCTTCCCTCCCTTTCACTCTAAAAATCAATGGAAACAATATCCTCCGGGATCCTCTTTGTAAAACGGCGTGTGTTTGGGCCTAACGTTTCCTCTTCCTGGTCTTGTCCAGTTTGAAACCCGGGCGCGGCTGGAGAGGCTCTCGGGGAGCTCCTCCATCAGCTCGGCCGACCTGTTTGACGAGCAGAGGAAGCAGGCTGTGTCACCACCATGAACTTGTTAATAACACATGTAATTATACATGGAGGAGTGGATGGCAGGTATACCCAGTAGAAGCATCTAGAAGTCTGCGTGTGATTTCCTGCTGCTTCCCATCCGCTTGAGTGAAACAAAGCGAAACGACTGTCCTGGCACCATAGCACACGGCGCCATTGCACCAGGACGCGCTGCCTGGCCCTCCTGCCAGGCCTCCAGGCGGACCTGCTTTTGCTGCTCTTAGATGCCTGTGGTCTCTGTATCCTCTGGCCACAGGAGGCTGCTGTCCAGCTCCAACCCGCTTCAGTGGCAAAGGGTGGGGGAAGGGTATTGGCTGACGGGGCTTCCTGCACGGCTGGGGTGCGGGCAGGGCGGAGCGGCTCATGCACCGTCCTCATCTTCACTCTCCGTGTCCTGGCCCTTGTCAAGGCCACTTCCTTTTGTGACCACCCTGGCTGAGGGGGCTCGGCCTTTGGAGGGCTCCCACAGTCCCGCCCGTCCCCACGGTGGTGCTGGGTCACCGGGACAGAGCCCTGTGCGCACCTCGGCTCAGGTTACGGAGTTTCCCTCTGAAACGTCGTTCTTGCTAAAACGCTCTGCTGACCACATGCGAGCAGGCCCTTCAGTGGTTGAGGGGAACGGTGGACACTCCCGTTTCAGAGAACAGAGCCCATAACGCTTGTCCTGTGTGCACCCGAGCTCTGGCCCGTGGGGCTGCAGTCACGGGAAGGGGCACCTGGGTGCTCGCCACAGAGCCCCCAGCAGGCCCGTTCACTGGGTGTCCTCTGCCCAGGCCCCTGTGGGTGCTGCGGACGGAGTGGGGGGCGGAGGCCTGCACTGTCCTTCCCTGGAGCCCATCATGTGGCTGAGCCAGCGGCCAGGGTACCAACGAGGGGCACAGTGCCGGGCTGGGGGAGGGGGCTGCGAGGCATGTCTGCAGGCCGTTTTGGAGCAGCAGCCCCTCGGGAGGGAGGAGGGGGCCTCCTGCCGGGGCTGCCACTGCTCCCAAAGCTGCCGAGGGCAAGAGTGCCTGCCCGGCTCAGACCCTCATCGGGAGGGTTCGGGAGGGTTCGGGGAGCGAGGGCGGCAGGGACAGAGCCAGGCAGAGCCCAGTGTGAGTCCGTGTCTCACGCTGTCTGGAGGCAGCTGGGGACTGTGCCCTGTGCTCCCTGCATCGGGACCCGGCCCCTTTCACTGGTCACCAACCCCCCTCCCCTCATCTCCTGCCCAGCTTGGTGCCAGCTCCGCTCACCTCGCCTACACCCTACACCCGCTGGGCTGGCCGGCAGGAAGGGGGAAGAGGGAGGCACAGGGCCTCCGACTGACCAGAACTCGGTCGTTTGGCCACACTGGGCTGCAGGGTTAGAACTCGGGAGTTTCTAGGGAAGGGGAGAGGGCTGACGGGCACAGGGAGTTTCTAGGGAAGGGGAGAGGGCTGATGGGGGGCACGGTGAGTTTTCAGGGAAGGGGAGAGGGCTGACGGGCACGGGGAGCCGTCTCCTAGGCGTCTCCGGGCACCGGGGATGGAAGCAGTCGGTGAGGTCACTGTCCCGCAGCTGCTCGGCCCGGGCCCCCTGTCCTGCCTCAGCCGTGCTCGCCCTAAACATTTCTCGGGTTGGTAAGTGGAGGTGCTTCCCTGCGGCCGCCCCTGACCCCTGCTCCCGCGCTGTAGTGGAGAGGCTGAGGCTCTGGCCCCTGGTCTGCTGTGAAGACCCGAGATTGGAGCCCAGGTGCCCACGGGCTGGGCGTTGGCTGAGGCTGGAGAATTCAAAGCCTCCTGAGGCAGCGGAGGGGGTAGCCCCGTGCCCACAGCCCTGCCCACTCGGCGGGCTGGGCGCCGTCTGTGCTGAAGGGTAATCGTGTTCTGTTCTGTTCTCCTGTTGCTTAGGGACAGGTGGGGGGAGATGGTCACGTGTGGAGCCAAGGAGTAGCTGGGCTCGGCCCTGGGGGACCCGCAGGGAGTGAGTCGCTCAGTCCCTGAGCCCCTCCAGCCCCTCCAGCCCTGGCTGCAGCCGTGTGACAGGTCACCAGGCCGGGGTGGGCTCGCGGCGTGGCAGCACCGGGCACTCACCGTGCAGTGCAACCAGGCGTTCCCGTGGGGCAGCCAGACCTTAGCCCACGCCCAGCTGTCACGGCTGCGGCAGAGCAGGGAGTGGGGCCGGCTTCGCACCCGGGAGGCTCAGACCTGAGCAACGGGGACAGACCCACTCTCCAGCTCACTCCTGGCAAGCTCCCTCCGCCTGTGCACGAGCTGCGAGTGGGAGGGGTGCCCCTGAGCAAGCAAAGGGCTCCCCTCGCTCAGTGTGCCTTGTCCAGGGCCGGCTCTGGTGAGCCCAGGGGAGGCCACCGGGAGGAAGGACGGAGGGCTCCTCTCCAGAGGGGCTGCTGGCCCACGAAGGCCCACCGGTTGCTTCCTGAGCGCTGGCCTGGCGGGT